CAGGGGACGCGGTCACGTGCCGCGGCAGCCTGGGGGCGGGGCCTGCGCTGCGCCGGACGCCCGAGCCGCCCCTCCGGCCCCGCCCCGCCCTGCCTTTCTTTCCCGCGTGAGTCAGGGTTCGAGTCCGCCCGGCTTCGCTGCGTCCCCATGCCCCTGCCCCCCACACTCTGCCCTTGCCCCGGCGCATCTGCACAGGGGCCTGAGGTTAGCCGCAGGACCTCAGGGGAGGCCCCGAGGGTCTTCCTGGGCCACAATCCTCAGCAGCCCTGAGCAGACCCCTGGCCCGACTCCTACTCGCGGCTGGGAACATACTTTCTTCCCCTTCGCTCGTCCCTTACTCTGGCCAGGAAACAGCTGGGGCGGAAGTGTGACTCAGGAGAGAAAACCATGCCCCGTGGACGGGTGTCTCTTTTCACGGATGAGGGTCCGCCCTCCCCGTGAATCAAGGTCCCTTCCTGTGAATGAAGGTCCCCTGCCTGTGCATTTAGGTTGCCTACACCGCGGATGGGTAGAAGTTCCTCCCCGTGGATTTGGGCATTTAATATTCCGTCGCTGAGAGCCACCTGTGTCTCCCTCCATGCTGACACTGGGGCCACAAGATGGAATGCCAGAGGCAAAGTGCTCTGCTAGTGGGGCTTGTGTCCTGGGTGTAGGGCTGGACCTTGGATCCAGAAGGTGACAGCACTGTTCGTCAGCTGGTGAGAAGAGCAATCGGGGTGGGCCAGGGGGACAGGGAAAGGAGGGTCTCGCAAGGGTGGGAGAGGCTGGGAGCTACACGGAAATGGTGGGGGCATGTCTGAAGGGGTAAAGGCTTGAAAGAAGAGCTGGCCGAGCCACATGGCTCCAGGCAGGGGAGTGGGCCTGTGCTGGTGGGTCCCTGTGAGGGTGAGGGTGGGAGCCCAGAGGGCAAGAAGTGGTCCAAGGAGGTGGAGGTGGAGTGGATGATTGTAAGGGCACAGAAGTATCCAGGGTCTCTGGGGTTCAGCTGAGTCTCTGGAAGAATGCTGGTGTCACTTCCTGCGATGGGGATGCCTCAGGGGTGCTGAGTTCAGAGGAAAAATCAAGATGCCACTGGGCAGAGCTGCATTTGAAGGAGTTTTTCCACAGGAGAGCAAGGGGGCAGTCAGGTGGGGGTATACATGTGGGTCTTTAGGGACTGGCTGGAGAGAAGGGAGGCCTGTGGAGGAGCTTGGGCACAGGCTGGTGGTTAGGAGGGCTGGCGCTGCCCCTTGGCCCCACAGGTCACCCTCTAGTCCCTGCTCCAATGTAGAGGGGCAGCTGCTGCAGAAATCCTTGTCATGGGTGGAAACTGCCAAAGTGGGCGAGTCTAGGCCAAGGTGCTCCTCCTGGGCACCCCCTCCCTACACAACCATTAGCTCTGCCCTCTGCCCACCCTGTCCCCTGCTTCCAGGGGCCCTGACCACCAGCAGCACAGTCAGGAGCACCCGCTCCTCACCCACAGGCAGTGCCTGAGTTGGGTGTGGGTGGGATTTGGATGGAGACCTGCACAGGAGAGCTTTCTAGGTCCATGAGTGTCAGACCCAAGCATTGGAGGGGCCAGGCTGAGTTGGGGCCATGGGGTCCCCCTGCTGGTCCAGCCCCACCTGCACCACGCCAGGGCATCCGAGCCAGCCACCGGTGCTGGACAGAAGGTAGGGAAGAGCCCGGTGTCCAAGAGCCTCCTTGCCTCCACCCAGCGCGCAGGGACATCTGACGCCCAGTCATTTCTGTCTCTAAGGAAGAGGAGGGAGGAGGAAGCCGGGGCCATGACACTGCAGCGAGGCTAGTGTGTGGCAGGCAGGATGCTCCAGGTGCACACCCGGGGTCCAGGCTGGGGGGCTGACCTCCAAGTCCAGGATCTCGGGTCCAGGTCTCCCACGTACACATGACCCCAAGCCCAGTCCAGGGCAGCCTGTGAGGCACAGGTCCCACGTGGCATTTGGAGCTGGGGTAGGCAGACTGCACAGGGCCTCACGACCAGAATCCTCGTTCTGGGCTTGCCAGTGACCAGCCTCTCAATGTCTGCCCCTGTGTGCTGTGGTGAGGACACAGACAGGAGGACTCCCAAGGACCTGTCCTGGTGATTAGGATGCCCACAGGGATTGTATTCTTCCTGAGTGAGTTCCCATTCTGGGGGTCAGCCCCCTGCCCCTCATACCCTCATCCCAGCGGATGAGGAGGGGCATATCACTGAGGCCTGGCCGTAACCTGGGCCAGGTGTCAGGGCACACCTGGGCATGGCGGTGGCTGCTATGACAGGCGGATCCTCCTCCCAGGGCAGAGTGCAGGAGGGCCTGGGGACCAGATGGGTGTGCAGCTGGCAGTCTAGGCCCAGGTGACTGTCTCCTGGGCAGAATCTAGACATGAGGGGAAGAGGCTCCCCTTCCCTGTTGTGCTGAGCCTCCCTCGAGAGCCCTGGCCCAGGGTCACGCCCGAGGTGTGGGCTTACCCAGCTTCCCTGGGCATCGTCTACCTGCTCTTCAGGTGCCTCATCCTCCAATAGTGAGTGTCCGCGTGGGGCCGGTGAAGGTGGGGGGCCACGGGGGCTCTCTTGCTGGGGGTTGTGACGCTCTTGAACCTGGGCTTCTGCATTTGTTTAGGACCCCGAGGCACAAGATACATGGAGATCACTGGTCCTGTTGTCCTGCACTGATGTTTCATTCCTACCTCTGCTTACGCTTGACGCCAAGGATGGGTGAGTGGGCGAGTGTCCTGCGGGACTTTCTGCCCTGTGGGGCTGGCCGTTGCCTCAGGTCACCCCTGCTTCCTCCCCTGGCAACTTTCTGGAGCATGTCTGAGCCTTTCCCTAGGAGCCTTTGCCCTTGCTATTCCTCCCTCTGAAATGCTGGAGCTCCTTGCTGCCTGCCAAACTCCTAACCGTCCCTCAAAACCCAGGGGCCCAAGGCACTGTCTACCCTGTACTTTCTTTGGGAAAACACCCCCCACAGGATTGCACTGAGTGTCCTTTGTTCGTTCAGCCTGACTGCCGGATGGGCCTCACATACAGGGGCTTGGGACTGGGGTTCTCCAGGGTGAGCGTGTCATAGGAAGCCCATTACCCAGGCTGCCAGCAGATGCGTCCCTCTTCCCATCAGGGCACAGGCTCCTCAGCTCCTGGTTTGCTTTTGGCCAAGGCTGGGCTGCGTGGGGTCCCGAGACCTAGACCCCAAGCACCTGTGAGTTATGCAGACCCTGCACCAGAAAGCAGAGGGTGGCAGGTGACAACCCAGAAAGCATGGGGCTGCTGAGGCCATTGCGGCCAGCTGGAGTGCTGGGCCCTTCTGCCCGGTGAGGGAGGGGGCATCAGCAGTCCTGTTGGGAGGGTAGAGCAGCCGGTACCACTGCCCACAGGCTGCTGGGGCCTGGCCAGAAGATGTCAGACAGGTGGGCAGGCAATGGTGCTTTGTGGCCTGGAGTGGGGTGATATGATATGGAGACAGGCTCTGTCCCAGGCTGGCCCAGCCCAATGTCCATCAGGACAGGAGCAGCGGATGCCCGGGAGGACCCAGAGGAGGGTCGGAACGGGGTTCCCCCCAAACACACCTCCGGGGACCACTGGGCTGGAGAGGGGCTGACTTCCACCCAGGCTTTGCTCCCACGTGCCAGGGGTGGGTCACAGGAGGTCACCTCAGCGCTCTCTGCAGCACCATGGGCGTAAGCCTCTCTCCTGCCGGGGCAGGTCCCCAGTGCTGGAGAGCAGGAGCTGGCAGTGCACCTCGCTCCGTTCAACCCTCCGATAGCCAGCACCAGCTCTGCGGGTCAGACACTAGACAGGAGGTCCAGGCACGCTGGGACCAGTCGCTGGGACACAGAGAGCCTCTGCCTGCCTGGGCCTGGGACCTCCTTGAGGCCTGGGAGCTGCGGGCCCAGGACAGGGGGCACTGAAGGCCTGACTCAGCAGCCACGGAGAGGGAGGGTCTGGAGCAGTGAGTCACCGGCCACCTCCGCCCTCCCCAGGCCTTAGTCACTCTGCCCTGATGGAGGAAGAGAGGCTCTGGAAGCCCCTACCTGGCTGTGCCCCTGTCTGGGGAGGGCGGGTCCTGAGGCACTGGCCAGCCCTCCCCACCACTGCACCAAGAATGCATTTCAGGGTAGGGGTCCCCAAAGGGGAGTTAGGCACTCTTAGGGGAAGAAGGGTGCTAGGGAGGAAAGCCAGCTGGGCCCCTCTGCATCCCTGTAAGGTGATCCCACGTGAGCGCAACACAGCCCGGCAGCATCCTCAGTGCCCAGCCATGGGCACGCCTGCCCCTGGGGCTGCTGCCGCCCATCCGAGGTCCCCGTTTTTCAGATGTCCTTGTAAGTCTGAGGGGAATTTACGGTGTGTACTTTTTGGACACTGAATACTTTTTATATCTGGTATTTTTTTTTTTGGACATTGAAAATAGTTCTGTCACAAAAGTATATTTAAGCCAACCTTGGGCGTCCCTGAGAGTGTTTTTGTTTTTTCCACTTTGGAGGCCCCCCTGCGTTACTCAAGCCTGGGGATGCTATGAACCAGAGGCTGAGAGTCAGAACTCACACGGGGTCCCAGGGACCTCGGCTAACCAGTCTGACTGAGCCTTCCCCGTGGAGGGGACGCTGGTGACTCGAACTCATAAGAGATGGAGAAACGGGAGCTCATTGCAATGTGATATCACAAAACTGCAGTGTGGCCTTGTGTCAGGTGCAGGCAGGCCCAGGACAGGCCCTGGCTGTGGAGGAGGAACCGCAGGGGACAGCATCACTGTGGGGTCAGGGGGACCATCCATTTCTCGAGGCTGGGCTATCGCTTCTGCTAGTGGGAAGGAGACAACATGAATTCTGCAGCTTCCTCCACAGAAAACCTAAAGTCCAGGTGGATTAAAGGCCTAAATTCGAGTAAATTGCAAGAATGTCAGACTAGCACGAGAAGACTATCCTTGAAACCAAGACCCCAGAAGCTTGGTGGTAAAGGGAGCAGCTGAGGTTTTGGAACTTCTGGACTCAGGAAACAGAGTGAGAGGCAAGGCAGCCAGCAAATGAAGACACGTGCAGGTCGGCAAAGGCTTGGAATACAAAACACAGACAGGCATCCTCCGGTAAATGAGGAGAAGGCATCCCATCAATAGAAAAATGGACAAATGGCACCACCAGGAAAAATCACAAGAGGCAAGCCCCAGATGGCCGGGAACCTGGCAAGCAGTAGCAGTCGGACCAGTGCAAAGGGAAACCACCAGGAGTGGCCAGCTTGCCCCGTTCGGCCTGCAGAGCCTTGGGTGCTTCGCCGCTCCTGGTCACTGGGCGAGGGCAGCGCTGCTCTCATGGCCAGCCCGTGGCACAAGACCGAGCGGCAGAGTGTAGGACGCACACCCGGCGTGGCCCAGCCATCCACCTTCGGGTGTGTCCCAGAGAGGGTGGGTGCAGGGTCCCAGGTGTATGCACACCCGTGTTCACGGCAGCGTTACAACAGCCAACAGGTGGAGCCAGCCCAGTGTCCGTCAGTGGATGGGTGGATCCACAAAACGTGGTCCATCCACACAGTGGGATGCGATTCAGCCTTCAAGGGAGGGAAATCCTGACACGGCTACAACATGGATGAACCCTGGCGACGTGATGCTCAGTGAAATAAGCCAGACAGAAGGACACGTGCTGTCTTGATTCTATTCGTACGAGGTCCCTAGAGGAGTCAGACTCATAGAGGCGGGAAGCGGACAGTAGGGACCAGGGGAGGAGAAGGGGGCGGGGAGTGGGTGTTCATGGAGACAGAGTGTCAGTTTGGGGAGCTGAGTAGTTTCCAGAGATGGGTGGCGTGATGTTAACACAACAACATGAATGTTCTTAATGCCAACCATCTGTGCACCTGAGGGGCTGAGATAAAATGGTACGTTGTACGTGATGCACATTTTACCACAATAAAACAAAAAAAAGGTGTGCCTGCAGGATGCCCAGAGACACGGGGTAGGGGGCAGCGGGGAGGCCAAGGACTTCTGTGACAGCTTTGTCTGAGGCTGCAAACGTCCTGAGACAGCCTCCACATGCTTTAATGGAGAATCGAATCGCGGAGTAAGACGAAGCAGCATCCTGGGTGGGGCGTCGCAGCGTTGGGAGGGCCTCTCGGGGATGACCACAGAGCCCATTTCAGTCACCTCTGCCCCTCCCCAAGTCCCCGCAAGTGCCAGGAGTTTTGTTTCCTTTTAAGCTACAGCCACAGAGCAGAGAGAACGGGAGGGGGCACTGGGTGGCAGGAGGCTGGAGGTGGGGGCAGCCCCTCCCCTTCGGTGGCTGGGCTCAGGGGCAGGAGGCTTGGGTGCGGAGGAGGGGCGGGCTCAGGGCAAGGGCGGCAGGTCTGTTTGGGGTGTGTTCACCCCAGGGAAGCTCTCCGGACTGTCTGGGCCTGAAGTGGGCGTGTAGGGACGGGATGTGCCCCTCGGGGAGGTACTGGGAAAAGAAGAGGAAGAGGTGCCACATGGCCCCCCACCCCCCAGCTTGAGGAAGCCCAAGGGGAGTGGCCCAGGGTGACAAAGCCTGCAGGGACACTTCTGGAGTCCAGGAGGCCCTGCTACCCACAAGCCCACGCCCCAGCAGGCTCCTCAGGTGGACACCTGGCCAGAGCAGGCTCAGGGAGCTGTGGGCAGGTGAGAGGAGGAAGCCGTCCCCTTGAGGGGACTCCGCAGCCCACCCCTGGGGGGCCAGATCACTGTAGAGGGTGGGGCGGAAAGAGCCCCCCAGCAGAAGAGTTCAGCCTGACAAACAAGGTCCCCTTCCCTGCCCCAAGTCCTTGTGGCTACAGTCCGGCTCGGCCCCCTGCACTGAGGCCGCAGCCTGGGCGCAGGAGTGGGTCCTGCAGCCCCGGGTATCCATCTAGGGTTGGGGCCAGCAGGGAGGCCCGGCTGTGGCTGTGGGTAGAGCCCACCAGGATCAAGGGCATGGAGGTGGCAGGAGGGGCTGGGAGGGGCACCTGGGGGTCCCTGCCCCTTCCTGTAAAGCCCTGGGTGTGGATACATGACACCCCCTCCTGGCCGCCTGCAGGTGAGGACCCCAGCCCAGCCTGTAGAGAACAGTTTATTTCAAACTCAGCCTCCACTCGGGCCCAGGGTTCCAGTGGCCATTGGCCAGGCAAGGGCCCATCGGGCTCCCACCGTGCCTGCTGCCACTGCCATTGTGCCATGGGCCAAGCTGGAACGGAGGCACGAGGGCGGGTCTGAGAGCACGCCTCCCTGCAGGCACGATGGGGCCGTGGGCATGGGTGAGGGCCCCCCGCCCGGCGGCTCTACCCGTGTTACTGCATTTATATGCTTGTGAGACTCCAAGGATGCCGGGTGAGGCAGGAGGGGCCGTCTGTGGGGCCTGGGCAGGCACTGCCGCCCACCTGCTGGAGTCTCAGCGGCCCCCAGGACGACTGCCACAGCACGGGGAAGGGGCTCAGGGCAGGGACTGTGGGAGCCCAGCCAGAAGGTAGATGTTGGGAGCCCCTCCCAACATCAGCCTCTGGGCTGTCTATCCACGCAGCCAGGGCACAGGCCACCAGCCAGGTGGTGGTCAGGCTCTGATGATAGGACCACCTGCCCCAGGTCAGCCGCAGGGGGTCGGGCCCACCCAGATGGATCCCTACCCCCACCCCGCCCCACAGCTGCAAGCAAAGAGCAGAAATGGGGGCAGCGCAACAACCACACCTTTAATGTCCCCGTGTGGGCCGGACCCAGGTCAGAGCCCATCCCAGGCCCCTGCCTAGCCCTGGAGGATGGCCTCCTGAGGACGCTGCTGCCGGGACGCCCACAGCACTGCTCGGGCTTCTCAGGACAGGCTGGCACATGTGGGTATGTCCACCGTGGATGGGCGGCCACACTCAGGGGACCTCCCTCCTCTGCCACCAGGCGCCCCAGTCCAGGCCGAGCCCTCTACCCGTGTCGCTGCTCTGTAACCCCAGCGCCTGGGTGCCTTCCGCTGAGGTTGGGCGGGGGACGTGCTGGGGGCCGATCAGCCGAGCGGGCTTGGTTTCCACCGCTGGGCGGGTTGGGGGCTGCCCGTTTCTCTCTCCTTCTGTGTGAATCTGGGGGTCTACAAGTATGCATGTTACGTGTGTAGAGATAGCTGTGTGTGAACTTGGCATGCACTAGATTCCCGAGTCTATACAGGAGTGGCTGTGCCCGACCTGGGTACCAGCCATCATTTTTTTCGGGCCAGGAAGGCTACACCAAGAATCAGGGCTGCTGCTGCCACAGCCACACCCCCAGCCACAAGCAGGGGTGTCAAGTTCTCGAAAGGGCAGGGACCTCGGCCCCCGGGACCCCCACTGGGGGCCTCGTCCTCCTCAGCCCCATCCCCAGAGCCCTTGGGCTCAGGGGCTGCATTGGGGCTGCTGGGGGCCAAGGGGGCTGGCTTCAGGTTGCTGTGGTTGTTGAGAAGGGCAGGGTCTGCCTTGGCCGGGGTCTTCTTGGCAGGTGGTGGGGTGGGGGCCGCTGGAGGCTCCTGCTTCTCCACTGGGGCTTCCTTCTTCCCAGGCTTAGCTGAGGGGGCTTTCCCATCTGCAGCCGGGGGTGCTCTGGCCTCAGCAGCGGCCTTCGTGTCGGCCTTGGGGCTATTGGCCGACTTCCCTCTGGACTCCATGGTGGGCGTGCGTGGGTGGGCAGGTGTCTAGACCACAGCAGCTCAGGACAGCTCGCCTCTGGGCATTCTATGGGCCTGGAGAGACACAATGAGGCGATGGCCAGAGACTTGGCCCTCCTGCCCATCCTCCACCTCCTCGTCCCTGTAGAGACCCTGCTCAGTTCTCTAGACTCCACCAGACCCCTCCAGGACCTGGACAACCTTCTGAGAAGCCCCTCCAACCACACTGGCAGGCACTATGCCCCCATCTGGGCTGGGGGGGTCCAGATGAGAGCAGCCAGAGGTTTCAGTTTCCTTATCTGTGAAACCCACACATATGTGGTGCCCATCACACTAGCCCAGGGAGGGGCAGTCCTGACAGGGAAGTGAGAGCCCCCCAGCCCTGAGAAGGGTGTGCAGTCAGGGAAGGTGGGCTGCAGCCCAGTGGGCCCATGCAGAACTGACCGTGTAGCCTTCTCCAGAGGGGGGCTGGGTCCAAATGGGGGGCAGGGCAGGGTGGGGACTCAGAGTCTGGGCAGGGAGGAATGGGCCCAAGGCCTCCAGGACCCAGATGTGACAAAATCAAGAAGGCTGGAGAAGCCAGGGGGCAGCGACAGGCCTGTGCCCCCCGGCCGGCCATCTTCTCCCCAGTGCCAGGCACCCAACCCCAAGGCCGTCCTTGCCTGCTCCAGCTGACGGGCAGGAAGTCCTTCCTGAGCCTCTGGTGGGAGAGGGGATACCTGGCGTGACCCTAGGGTGGGCACATGCCCTGTCAGTCAGCCTCAGCATCCCTGAATCTGGGCCAGGCTGACTGACACGTGGCAGAGGATGGGGCCATAGGAAAGGCCTGACCCAGATTCTCAGTGTCTGGGGAAGAGGAGGGGCTGGGGGCCGAGCCATTCTGGACCCGAGTCCTCCCTCCCTGGAGACCTGGACATCAGTTGTCTGCCTCTCCTCTGGGAGGCTGGAACTCCCACCTCTACCCCCTGGGAGAAGGAGTCCAGGTGGGAGGGGGCAGCCTGAGTTCCCCACCCTGGTGATGCACACTAACCGTGAAGGTCGCCTGAAGGTCACAGCGTGATGGGGGTGTCCTGATGAGAGGCCCAGCTGCTGTCCCACCTCCCAGGGAGCCCCAGCGGCCCTCACTCCCTGCCAGTCTGCAGGGTCACCCAGCTGCTGGGCATCAGGTTTGCAAAGAGCAGGTGGTCCACTTCCCACCCTCCTCCCCAGACCCTTGGTTATTTTGGTTTCATACTGACGTCACCCAGCTGCCCCTCCCCCTCCAGGCCGCGGTGCCCAAGAGAGCAAGGGGCCAGGAAGAGCGCCCCCGATGACCTTCATGGCAGGGGAACCACCGCTTCATCCCGCCGGACCCAGCGCCCCCATCCCGCCCCAGATCCCGGGCTGCAGAGTCCCCGCCGCCTTACACTGCTGCTTCTAGGCCTCCCACCTCGGCGCAGCGCACTCTGCGGGACCACGGCGGGCGGCGGGCGGCGAGCGGCAGCTGTGGATGCAAGGACTGGGAGTTTCCCACAATGCACTGCTCCTGACGCAGGAAGAGAGGCGGGGACGGCATCAGCGCTGGCTCCGCCCCCCTACTCTTGGCCACCACAGCGCCCTGGGCTGGCTGGGACTTCTGGGGTCCCCCAAACCAGCTCCTCTTTTGATCCCAAGGGTTGTTTAGGGTCAGGGATGGGAGAGGCTGAGGCTGGCTTTCCCACACACCCAGCCCAGACTGCAAGGGAGTCAGGCGGCTGTTCGCCCAGGAACCCCTCCAGGCCAATGCGCCTGTCAGTAGGCGGCAGGACCAAGGACTGCAGGGGGAGGGGAGCAGGCTACCAGAAGAGGGGGTGCCCTTCCGTTCCTCGTCTCTAACAGAGTCTCAGAGATGAGGCGAGACATCTACTTAGAATATTTATTTATCTTCTTACGTGACAAGACACAAAAAGTTACAACTCCTTAAAACTCTTCAAAAGAAAAAAATATAATTTTGTAAGCAGCAGCAGCAGCTTCCAAGGTACAGACGTGACAGGAGAGAGCCGCCAGTCCTCAGGAACACCTGTGAACCGGGGGGCCCAGGCCTGAGCCCCAGGTGGTGTCACCGGGAAGGGGCCTCACAGCAGGGGCGGGGTGGGGGGGACGACACAGCACCAGCACGTCGGGATCAGTCACCAGCACGGTCACGTGGCTGGGGGCAGGGCAGGGCGGCCTGCCTCAATTCACAATATCAATGGGGGCGGGGCCTGGAAGTGCGGTGGGGGCAGGGCTCGTGCAGAGGCCCAGAGAGCTGGGTGGGCCCTGTGCAGACGGAAGGGGCAGCTCCTGGGCCCCTGCAAGCAGAGAAGATACTGGTCCTCATGCCTGCCCTCCCTTGGACCCAGGGTGGTGGTCTCAGAAGAGGGGTCTGCTAAAGGTGCAGCAGGAGGGGCTGGCTGGAGAAATGAATTCCTGGACGGGGTAAGTGGGGAGCCTAGGGTGTGCACACGCACACACACGCACACACACGCACACACACACGCACACACACACAGCCTGGCCACGTGAGGAAGGGCAGCAGCCCCCCACAGCCCCATCCCTGAGGGACCAGGCCAGCTGAGGGCTGGTGGGCATAACCTGTGCCCACAGCATTTGCACATACACAGGCCTCACACGCAGGGCCCCTGCCTGGGGGGAGGGGCGGAGGGGCCCACCAGGAGGGATGTTGGGTCCCATGGTGAGGGCAGGGGATCTGCCCTGGGAGTCAGAACTCAGGGCGACCCCCAACCTAGGATGCCTGGCTCAATACGGGGGCAGGAGAGCCCCGCCCTCCGGCAAGGCTGGCTGAGGCAAGAACAGCAGCAGGGGGGTGGCAGGGGCTGGATGGACAGACAAGGGACAGACAGGGCCGCCTGTGCTCGGCAAGGTAATAAACAGGTTTGTGCGGGGTCCCCTCTGTGGACGGGGGCCAAGCCCCAGGGACGGGTGCTGGGAGACTGGAAGGCAGGGTCCAGCGAGCCCAGCCCAGGCCTAGAGGCGCCCAGCCCAGGCCTTGAGGCCCCCAGTCCAGAGACCAGCTCTGTCCCTGGGGGTGTTCAGGCTGGGCCAAAGGTAGGGCAGGGCTGGCGCCAGGAATGTAAAGATTTCTGCGTTTTCTACATAAATAAGACATTGATCCCAGTGGTGGTGCAGGCAGGACCTCGCCAGGCCAGTGTCTGCACCACCGTGTGGATCCTGCACCCGCTTCCTCTCCCCCACCCTCCATGGGGAGAGACTTGTGCTCGGTCCTGGGTGGACCCCCTGGCTCTGGTCCCACTCTGGTCCTGCTCGGCTGGAGGGTGGGGAGTGGCTGCCGGGCTCAGGGCTGTGTGCGCGGCAGCCCCAGCAGGGTCTCTGCGATGCCCAGGAAGTAGACCACCTGAGCGATGCCAAACAGCGGGGCGATGACCAGGGCACGGCAGTACGCACCCTTCAGGAAGGCAGAGGGGCCCTCGTTCCGCAAGATCTTCCTGTGGGGAGGGTGGTGTCAGAGCTGCAGGGCTGGTGCTACCCCCCGCTCCCCCCACCCAGGGACCTGGCCCACCTGGCACAGTCCAGGAACCCCGAGTACGTGTCCTCGTTGACACCACGCTGGAGCGACTGGAGCCGCGTCTTAACCACTGCAGGGGGCGTGGGTGTGTGGTCAGCGTGGGGCCCTCCCTCCCACCCAGCCCCTTGGCCCCCAGCCCCAGCCTGGGCCCAGGCCCCGGCACTGACCATCACAGGGGTTGACGGCCACGGCGGCTGTGCTCCCAGCCACACAGCCTGCCAGGAAGGACACGTAGAACGGAGACTTCTCCCCAGAGGCTGGTTGGCCCAGCTGGTTCAGGTTGGCAAAGAGGGGGAAGTAGACGATAGAGAAGGGGACATCCCTGTGGAGGGGGCGATGGTGACCGACTGGGAGGCATTGGGGGGGCGCGCTGGGCAGTGACCCCCCCCTGCTCTCCCACCTGAGCAGCGTGGCTCCCAGTCCCTTGTAGAGGCCGGCGAGGCCGCGGCTCCGCAGCAGGTCCCGGGTCAGCTGAATGGCCGTGGGCCGCGGGGAAGCGGGAGCCTCCACTGAGCGCCGGGTGCCCCCCTGCGCCGAGAGCTGGGCCTGGGCAGCCAGCATCTTCTTCTGGGCGGCTGGGGAGAAAGGGGATGGGCTGCTGGCTGTCTCTCCTGGCACGAGCTGGGGGCAGGGATGGGTCCAGATGGGGTCCGCTGTGGGCCCCCCCCCCGTTGCCCTCACCAAGGCGGCCTGCGTCCTGGAGCTGGATCTTCAGCATCTCCATGGGGGTGGTCACAATCACCTGGCAGGTGCCCGCCCCGCAGCCCGCCAGCATCTCCTTCAACAGGGTCAGCTTCTGCCTGCGGGAAAGGAGGCAGGGGCTGCAAGGAAGAGTCAGAGGCCCCCGCCGCCCAGAGGACCGCCCACTGCAACTCGGTGTGAAGGGGGATGCGAGTGGGGCAGGCAGATGCAGCCCTGTGGGGATGCAGAACCCCCAGCCCCAGACACCCCTCCAGGCTCTCCAGCAACAGGCGCTGAGCCCAGCAGACAGATGGTCACAGGCAGGGCCTGGGAAGAGCCAAGGGGCCATTCTTGAGCAAAGAGAAACGGACTTGGGGGTTGGAGGGCGTTTCAAGTGCCCCAAGGGACTCCTACCCTTTCAGTCCCACCCTCGGGGGGGGGCAGGGAAAACTGCTAGGTGCCCACCCCATCCTAACCCACAAGGGGCACAGGCAGTGGCTGGGGGCCAAGGACCCCAGGGGCCTGAGCACCGCTGAGTCAGCACCTGCTTCACTCCACCCCATGCGGGGACAAGGAGGACAGAGAAGGGTGGTCGTGGGGGGGAGCAAGGCGGAGGAGGAGGAGGAGGCAGGAGAGGGAGCAGAGGCGGAGGAGGAGGAGGAAGAGGAGGCCCTGCAAGGTCAAGGTGAGGGGCCTACAGGAGACCAGAGCCTCTGTCCTTTGTCTGGAGGCACAGACCCTCGCCCTCAGGACCTCAGCCCCCAGCAGCCAGCCAGACCCCTCACCCGTCCTTGGAGAGCTGATATCGGAAGAAGTCATTGGCTGCCAGCTTGATGGCCTTCTCGGGGGTGACGAGGGTCAGGTTCACGGCGGCCCCTGTGTGGCACAGGGGGCAGCACAGGCTGCTCAGTGGCCAGGGATGGGGAGGCTCCCAGCCAGCACTTGCCTCCCAGTTGGCAAAGCCCCACCCCAGTCACTGCTTGGCTGCCTCCTCCTGCCCTCTCACCCACATTTGTGCCCAGCGGGGGTGGGGACCAGGCATGGGGCAGTGTCTCCTCCTCCAGGCACCCTTTCAGCCTCCCACAGGTCCCTCCCATTCTGGCGGATGGGCCCCCCGAGGAACAGCTCCCTGAGGGCACAGAAGGTGCTCGCCCCAGGGGGGCTCAGGCCTGGTGTGGGTCAGAGCCCAGGGAGGCAGCAACCAGCCCCTCTCAGTGGCGAGGACTCAGGGCCATACGGCATCCGGGCAAATCCAGGCTGGGAGATTGTCTCCTAAGCTGCTTTGTAGTAATGCCCCCATCCCCGCCCAGTCTCCCAGCACAACGGGGTCCCGCCTGTCCCAGGAAGCAGAGGAGGAGGCTGCAGCCACCGTGGCAGAGACCTAGTGTCCTGTCATGCCAGGTGCTGGTAGTGAGAGGGGGACAGGGCTGAGAACTGCCACTCCCCAGAGATCCCTCCCTGTCCCTTCACGCCCCCCCCCCGACACCCAGCGCCTGGCCCCTAGTACAAGTGCAGCCAGCCACATGGGACAGCTCCAACTTACACACCAGGCCCAGGCATGCCGCTCTGCCCTGCCCCCTGCCCTGTCTCCCAGCAGGTACAGCAGGACCCCTCTGGGGCTGCAGGAGCAGCTCCCAGGCCTCCCCCATCCCAAGCCTCACCACGGTACATCCCGAAGTAGCCCTCTGAGCGGATGGTCTTGATAAGACAGTCAGACCTGCAGCCAAGGGGGTGGGAGTGAGGAGGGGCTCAGTCCTGAGCCGGGCAGGAGCTCCCTCAGGCCTGCTCTGCCCTCAGTGTCTCCTTCAGTTTCACAGGTTGTGGGGACACAGGAGCAGGGCTCAGAAGACTGCGCTGCCCGCTCCCCTGGCTCTGCACCCCGCCCCCAACCCGGGGGCTCACATGCTGGTGTACATGCGCTGGCCGTTCTGCTGGTTCTGCAGCCGCGTCTTGGCCAGGTCGATGGGGAACACGCAGGTGACCCCAATCAGCCCAGCGATGCCGCCATTGATGAGCTTGGCTGTCAGACTGTGTGGGCAGAGGGAGCTTCAGGACCTTGACCCGGGCCAGAGGTCTGGGACTCGGGGGAGGGGGCAGGGCACAGGGCAGAGGTGGGAGGTGGTGAGAGGTTGTGTTCTGACCTGATTTGCTTATCAGCCATTTAACTCCAGGGGCAACCAGGTAGGGGCGGCAGAGAAGGATGCCAGATGGGGAGGTGGTAGAGGAGGGGGAGGGGTGGTCTTCTCCTCTCAGGGGAATTTCAAAACCACACTCCTGTCCTAGGAGAAAGAGGGCGCTGGAATCAGCGGGGGTGGGCAGAGGCTTGGAGGCGCACCAGAGCAATAAGCTTCCCCAGAGCCTTCCTCCCAGCACCCAGCCCCTCACCCAACCACCGAGGCCAGGGCTGCCACGTGTTCTGGGCGTGTGGTGTGCGGAGAGGCACCCGCCACCTGGCCCCATCCCCAAGGCCACCAGTTTCACCCCAAGGCCCCCCCCCACCACCAGCAGCGTCCTCCCAGCTGGCCTTGCACAGGCGCCCAGGCTCCCATTCACGCTTATGCTCACGTGCACACCGAGCCCTTTAAAGGGCCAGGCGCCTCTGCGGGAGGCAGCATCGGGAGACGGGGCCACAGCGCCAGTCAGGGCACCTCAACCCCTGGAGTGGGCTGTGGCAAGCCCCCATCCTTGAGCAAAGGCGGTGGGCACCTGTCCTCTTCAGGATGGGGGTGAGGGTCTCCTCCTTCCTGGTGCCCCAGGACCCCTACCTGGGCTCAGATCACAAGTGCAGGTAGACACAGCCAACTCAGGTGTGGCCCCTACTCCATGGCAACTCCGTGCTGGACCCCTGACCATCCCCTCCCCTCGGAGAAGCACCAACTCAACCATAATCAGCCCTGTGTCCACCCACCTCTCCACCCCTCCCAAGAATTTCACTCCCAGACTGACAGACAGACAGAGAAATGCAGTGACCGTCAGGACCTCTGATAAGGGGGTGGCTGACCTTCTGAGGCTCCATGTGGTTGGGCCCCCCATCTACTCTAGGGATACAGGCAAGCAGTCTCTCTCACTAGAAGCAGGGTGGGGGAGCCAGAGCCAACATCGGGGCCTCCGATGGAGGGGCACAGGCATAAAACTGAACCGTGGGGGGGCCTTCCCAACTCCGGCCCCCTCAGAGGCCAGCTGTCACCAGTTTGCACCCGAAGTGCTACCACCCAGGGTCACACAGCCCAGCTGTCCCTCCGAGGACTGGTGACCTTCCCCTCAAGCTTTCCTGGGCCACGCTCTCCCCTGCCTGCCCAGCATCCCTGCCGCCCCGGCTGCTGCCTCCCGCCCCGGCCCAGGTCGGCTCACCCGGAGGTGCACAGGACTCGGCTCCTCCTCCAGGACTGCTGCCTGGGGCTCGCCGCGGAGATCCGAAGCCGAAGGAGGTGCCGGCTGCGAGGATTGGCTGCGGGGCGGGGCGGGGCGGGGCTGGCGGGGGAGGGGGACTTTCTCTTTCACTTCGGGCGGGATGAGGCTCCCTGAAGCTGTGGGTGAAGAGATGAGAAGGGGTGTGACAGCTTCTGGGAGGCAGGGACTGACCTCAGAACCCCCCTCAGCCCATGGGGCAGTGGGTCTGATTCAGGCTGACTCAGCCAAGCCAGGCAACCTGCTCACAGGGCCTCAGCCCCGGGCCACAGTACCCCCAGCTGCCCCATGGCTTCGGGGCTGCAGTGTGCAGGCTGGATCCTGTCTAGGGTCCTGGGACCCCACGGACAGGGCTCTCCCCGTGTCCAGGCACAGGAAATCCAGTGTCATGGAGTGAGATGAATCTATGCCCACTTGTGTCTGTGACACTTGTGTTTCTTTTGGGGGAAGGAGCATTTCAGGGAAATCTCAGGCTGGAGCAGAGGAAGATGTGCCTGTCTGCTGGGGCTCGGAGGCCCCTGGCTGCCACCCACAGGCCTGTTCAGTTGGCAGGTCCAGAGGGCAGGGGAACTGGCACTCCCAGAACCCTCCGCCCTGCCAAGCTGTCCCCCACACCCCATTCACCCAGGGCCTCAGTGTTAAGGACCAGCTTCTCCATGCCCCAGCCTGCAGAGAAGTGACCTCTGCACTTCAACCTCACCCTGTCTCCCCACCCCTCCACTTCCCTGGTGCAGACTGGCCACAGCTGATTCTCTCTGTTGTCTCTGACCCTTGTGCCCTCTGGGGACTGAGCATCACCAGACCCCACCTCCTGTCTAGGATAAGGGACACTTGGATGACGGGGGTCCGGGAAGTCAGGCAGACTATCCAAGTGGGGAGGGGAGCAGTTGTCCTAGGATGAGAGGCAGGCCTGGAGACCCCAAGCCTGAGAAGACAGTCAGCCCTGGGGTCCCACATCACACTCTGCTGGCTGGAGTGGGGAAGATGGCTGCAGAACTGAGAGCTGTCGGGCAGAAGGGGGTCTGCCGGGGGAAGATTGGCCCGGGGTCCTCTGGATGGAGAACCCTTTTTTCTCTGTCTCACTCAGTGGTTCATACTCCCTGCTCGGGAGACAGCTTGGAGGCCCCTCTCCTTTCCCCCCTGTTGCTACAGAAACCCCGCAGTCCCAGCCAGGCCAGAGGCCCCCAGGGCCATCAGCCCTCCCCTTCTCCCCTGTCTCCTGTCTCCTCCCTCCGATTCTGCAGCCTGGTAAACCGAGGTTGCAGGCAAGGCTGTGGAAGGCTGTGGAAGGCTCGGGTCACAGAGACCACCCACAAGACAATGCTGCTGCTCCCAGGCACCCCAGAGGTAAAATCTCCCACAAATGAAGCCCTCAAGAAGGGCAGTGGGACTGAGGCTGCGTCTGGGACTGGCCATTTGATCCCCCAGCCCTTTCCCCCTGGGGAGGCACTTTCTGTCCAATGGGCTGCAATCCGCCGACAAAGGAGACGCGAGGTGGGGGTTCAGGGAGGCCTCTTGGAGGCCGGCTCAGCTCCTCGACCCCTAGAGAGGTTCCAGACGGGACCCGGGCGGCCACGCTGTCCCCGGACAGGCGATGAGGCTCCAGCCAGGCACGTGTCCACGTACGTCCCGCAGGGTCCCACGTGTGTTCCTCCCCACCCCCCCAAGCCTGGCTTCTGTTCCTCGGGCAGGGGCACCAGTCTCCCACCCCGCGAGGACACGTGTGCGCGAGGAGCGCGCCCGACACCGCCCGGGGCCGAGCACGGCCTCCTACACTCGGGCGGCAGCGGGTCGGAGCATCCGCCGGCGCCGAGTCCCG